GGACTGTCCCTGCAGTGGGGATGAATTCAGCAGGGTGTGGATTGCCCCATAATGGAATTTATACTGGGGAATACGATACCTGGTACCACAACCTCCTCTCTCTTGGTGGTTTCACAGGGTGAGGAAAGGCTTGGAGCATAACTAAAGGAAGCTCTGTCTGCATTACACTGCTGCTAGTAGTGATAAAAGTGTGGGGTTTGGAAAGCAAACTAACCAACAGGAAAATGTCTTGTGTACCCCAAAAGATACTGTACTCTCCTACCTTCAAAACCATCTTCAGACCCATGTTTTTTCCCTTGCTGCCACCGGGCAGACCTTGCCTGGCATCCCTAGTGCTTTCTTAACAGATTCCCTCTCCCCTTTGCCCTGTTTCTAGCCCTGCTCCTGCTGTACAAATGCCCAGCAATTCCTCTGAATTTTCTGTCATCTTCCAAAACAGTACTTACAAAATAGGGGTAAGGGCTTCTATTTTTAACAAAAGCTGAGTTTGTTCTTTGTTCTAGCTTTTGGAGATTTACTGATAGAAAGCATTTACTTTGCTGCCCCAGGAAACAAGGGAGAAAGAAAGATGGGATAATGTCTCTGGATAATTTTCTTTCTTCTGAGACTTTGCTTTGCTTTTCTGAGACCATTAGCAGGGAAGAAAGGGAACACAATTTGTTTCTCCACGTGAAAAGGTACTTTGTGAAGAAGACAAAAGTAGGTGTTTCACACAGAAAGCTTTACTTACCAAACAGACCCTAAGTCTAATTCACCTTGCAAAAAGCAACTGCTTTTTGAGTGACAGAGCACAGATCAGAATAATCTGAACTGGCAGCTGTGCTTTCAGCTTCAGTCCTTTCTAGAGATCTTTCTCCATGGGCTCTGTCCAGCAGCTCTGCACCGGTTCCAAATTTCTGCACTGCCCTCTACTGGGTACAGTAACTATCCAATCCTGCCGGCGTGGAGCTCTTCCCAAGGCCCACATTGTAGGGTTTGAAGCTGAGGGAGTGGATGTAAGAAAGGAAAGAGGACGGGAATGATATAAGAAAGGAAAGAGGAGAGGAATGGGGGATTGCAAAAATGAAACATGAGTGGGTAGAATTGAAGATATCCCAAGAAAGCTCAGTCTGTGGAACATCTAAAACCCCAGCTCTTCTTGTCACAAAAACTACACTCACTGTGCAAGTGTCCTTCACATATTACAGCTGATGGCCACTTCTCCTGGGCAAGCCTTTTCAAGGCACTTTATGGAGCCCCCCGGACCACTCTACTGTGATTCACATAGAGATGGTGTCAAACTCTGTAAGCAGCAGCCTGACACACTTGGCTTTTGGTGTCCGAGCTGGCAGGCTCACTCCATCACTCTCCTCAGCAACTGGGAGTTAACATGCCCATTCGAGCCTTGCCAAGTTCTGAAGCTTTGCAACTGAATATTATTACCACATTCTTGCTCAATGAAGACGATTTTTTGGACAGACACTTCATCAGCTGCACTACTGAGTGCATGGCAGACAGACTGCATGTGCACCTGCAGGATCTTTCTTTCCCCTGTGATCTTACAAAATTACGAATTACATGAGAGTGAAACAGCTTTCCTGGCACATCTACAGCAGCCTTCAGCCAACTCCATCTCATCTGAGAAACATGCACAGCACTGTGGCAGCCCTGCCGTGCTCCCACTTACAGCCACAGTGATGGCAGGAGCCAAGGGTGCAGCAGCAGGGAGGGAGCCTGGCTGGGTGCCTGGGGGCTAGGGAGGAGTTAGAGGATCTCAGCTGTACTTTTGGCTCTGATATACTTTATCTTGACAGAATTAAGGACTTCAAAACCCTTTCCTTTGAAGGGTGGAGGGGAGGAAAGGGACTTTGTTTTGCCTAAGTAGCTGTTAAGGGCAAAGCCTGGTTGTATTACCTGTCTGAACATGAACATCAAACCAGCCATTGAATCTGCTCAAGCACGGAGTGCACTACGCCAAGGCAAATAGTGGCAAAACACTTCTCACTATTGCATGTTCAAATTCTAAAGTAAGTTTCAGTTCCACCATTGCTTCATTCTTTTGTTTTACACAGAAAAGCAGATGATCTTCCCCCAGCTGCTTATGCCAAACATTGACTAAAGCTCTGTTGCTCAAAAATTGTTTGATAGAGTATTCTAAGCACAAAGTGAATCTCTGTGCAACATCTTAAAATTCATGGCAAGCTCTGTTTCTCCACATTCATGACAACTATGCATGACAGAACTAAGCAGTTAAATCTTGGTGGCTAAAGCATCATCAGAAATTTCTAAGTTCACCTCTTGTACACTGGCTGCACATCAGTGTAGGATGCTATATTGCCATTGGGTTAAGTCAGTCTGTGACCACACTGACTTCTGAAAAGAATATTCAGGTTCAAGCAGGACATACATTCCCTCAACTTCATCCCAAAGGACAACTCACAAAGCCTTTCCAGCCCCTCTCCCCTTAATCATTTGACAGAGACATTTCCTCTTCATTGTCACAAAACATGTTGATTGCGGGGAAACTTCCTGGACTTTTAAACATGTTGGTTATTACTTTAAGAAAAAAGCTCTTTGGAAAAAGCATACTTTACTGGGCCTGCTTAAGGGAGCACGTAAGACACTGGTTTGGTACTTGAGGTTTAAAATCTCCCTCTGGGCAAGCAGAACAGCATCCCAAGTCTCTTGCACTGGCTGCTGGCAAGGTTATAAATACAGTTGGGATTTGAACTTTTAACTCTGATTACCCTGCAGAAAACCCCAGGGAAATTCTGCTTTGAGAACTCAAACCCCAGCGTAACATCTTTACAGTCCTCTCAGTAGAAGGATTATAGGCTTCTCTGAATGTTTTTCTTGCTTTATTATTGCTCTATTTTTTTTGCCCTTTCTTGGACATTCAAGTTATACACTGATCCCTCTCACCTGTTCTGTCCACCTGTTAGCTCTGAGGAGAGCAGCACGTTAAAACTTCCCATATTGATTGCTTACTTGCTTTCCTTGCCATTCCCCTCCTCCCGCGTTTTGAGCTGACTGCCAGTCAGAGCCTCATCCATCACCTACCTCCGGTGTCCCCTCTCCTCCCCGGGGCCTCAGAGCGCTCTGGTGCTCAGGACTACCCGGCAGCACCTCCCG